CAAGGTTTGAATACAGAAGATGAGGAGTGAGCCGGGAGAATTGAATACGTGGTTACCAATCCATATTGCTATAAAGAGGATAAGAAGATAAATGCTGATGGTGTTAAGGTGAAAAGTGGTGTGAAAAGAGGCTGTGAATAATGGCATGAAGCATTCAGAGTTCAGAGTCTCCTTTTAAACTTGTGCCAAAGGAGCCATTGAGGCTGGGAGAAGCTTGAAGTTCACAAACAGTGGATACTGGTAAGCCAGTCATCTTAAAATATTGAGTAGCCCAGGAAAAAAGAAATGTGCTATTCCACCTGCATATCACTATTCTGATTTCTCTCATCATAGGTTAATTCTTGAATTTCACATAAAAGAATCCTAAATTATGCATTCTTTTGTATGAGCCCTTTTTCATTCAACAGCAAGTCTTTAAAACTTTCAGGTAACTTATAGTTGCTTCATACTTTATAGATTAAAAAATTTATCATATATTATTTCCCCTAAATCTCACATAAAATTAGGATGCTGTGCCCACTTATGAGAGAATAGTGTCTGACCACATAACACATAGTTTATAAATGTGAAAGGTCTGATTTAAGTGAATACCTCCCAGTTTGACATCTCTCCCCTCTTTCCATTCATCCTCAGTGTCTCTGTATTTGGAGTGAGAAGCTTATGTTATACAAGCTGATATACTCCTAACCCACTTATAATATCTTAAGTATACTAAACCAACTCAGTTATGTTTGAATAGGGAAGTGAAATGTTGTTTAAAGATGAGCCATTTCTTCAAGACTTCCTGAAAAATTTTTAAACTTTTCCTTTGATTCACATATATCCTTGATGGGTTTATGTATCATTTTGCCATAAGGAACTCTAGAGAGAGCTGAGACATCTCAATGTTTATATCTATTCTGAAGTTAACAAGATTTGTCAGTAACAATAATTCTTCTTGTTTTCCGTTTAGAATTCAGGTCTTAAAACCTAAAGGAAGTTGCCTTTACAAATTCATTTTATAAACACTTGTAGTGACTCTCCCCAACAAGTTAGCTGCTGGGATGAATTGCAATCATTCAATAAAACATAGGTGAAGTGCTCAGTGCTGCTAGTATTTACAATGGTGGGTTGCAATTGCTTCAATAGCATATTATAAATAATGTGGACATTTTAAACAAATAACGAACCAGCTTTGGTATTAGTGCATATTTTTGTTCAGAGTCAACCTTAATTTTGAGCACCAGAATTATTTTATATGTATTTATCATGTTTCCTTTAGTCGATATTTATTTACTAAATTACACAGATAACCTGCATAAATTATAAATAGGAGAGCAAATCATTAATATTACAATGAATCCGTAGGGAACTGTATTTCAGATCTCTGAGGAGCTGAAATGTACCAGTCCTGCCAAAGTGTTCTTTTTCATTATGGGGTACCTTCTCTGCTTCTTGTTCTAATGTGTTCATAGTTGGCTTTGTTTGTTGATGCTCCCTGTCTCAATAGGGAAAGAAGAAAGGAAGTAACCACAGCAATAATTACCAACGGAGCAAGTCATTATCATTATAATAGAAGTGAAATTGAAATGGTAAGAGCTTGGCTTTATTCAAATTTTTACTCTGTGCTGTTAATGATTATATCATAGTTAACCCCCTCCTCAACCTCTTTTGAGCGGTAGACATGCCATACTACCTAAAGCATCTTAGGATGGGAAAATCACACCATAATCCACTGATCAAGCTTTTTAGGCCAAGTCTCTAGGTGCATTACACCTTTGATCCTTATGATCCTTCAAAATGTCTTTCAGAAAAGTTAATAGAGAACAGATGTTAGTTACCCAAAGAAGCAGCTGTTACAATTAGACAAATGGAGCATATTGGCAAATGAAGATTGCATAAACTCTTTAAATAGACCACCTAATTCCTTAAAAAGCCAATAAGACGTTTTGGAAAGGTCTGAAAAGGTGAACAATCATGTGTTTGCACATGAACATTCACGAAAAGTACCTTCCTGCAAACAACTTTTACTGCAACAAAAATTCTCACGTGTTCATTTTTATAACATTAGAAAGTGGCCCCTTGAATTTTTTTGTCCGTAAATACAACCCTTATAAAGGGTTCAGCAATTATAACTATGGGAGGCAAACTTTCCTATACTGGAAAAATTAGGAGTTTTCTCAAATTTTAAAATTTATATCCCTTCTGTTTTCTTAGACTGAACAGTAACTTCCTGTTGCTTTAAATATTCTAAACCTAATGATGAAAAACTCAGTGAAAAATGCATTGCTCTCTTACTTAGTCTAGAACCTCACCTTTTGTCAATGGCAAGAGACATATGCACATATTCTGCTGTGACTGCTACTAAAATTGATTGAGGAATAATCTCCCTGACAGGGAAAGGAAGTCTCAATAAAGAAGAGATATTTGTGAAACCGCACTTTACAAATTAATAAACGGATGCATGGTGAGAACTATGGTAAGGGCCTAAAACTCTGCAAAGGCACAAGAATAGCTAAAAATAATGACAATAACCAGCTCTCTTGTTTGTTTTCTGATAATTACTACTCAGGAGTCATATAGCTGATGGTCATAAAGATTCTTAAATTTCTTCATTGCTTCCATACATAACATTGTTCTTGTAAAGCCTAAAGCTAGTTTTTGAGATCTATTCCAGGCCTCGAATTCTGGTGGAACAGCTGACCCACCCAGACTAGTGGGCCATGCCAAGGAACTGACTCAATTGGCATTGCGACCCCCTGCAAGAATCAACTCAGCAAAGAAGACAATTTCTACACTCCTACGGTTCCTCCCTGAACCCAGTCAAATATCAGACCCAATTGCCTAGTCTTTTGCCCACCAACTTGTGTTTAAAGACTCTTTCTTCCAAATTTTTGGAAAGATGGATTTGAGAAATTTCTCCCATCTTCTCATATGGTGCCTGTGATATTAGACCGTTTCTCTGCTGTAACCCCTGCCATCTTGGTCTATTGCCTTCCTCTTGAGCAGCAGGCAATGAACCTGATTGGGTGGTTACATTTGTACTGGGTCTGGGAGAATGAAAAAAAACATTGTCAAGCAGAGGAAAAGAAGAAAAGCAATCTTACCAGAGGGAACCCTGAACATTACACAGACTTGTGAAAGAACATATATGTTAGATAATGTGCATAATGCCAGAATTGCACAGAAGAAGGTTGGTTTTCAAATTGTAGTGTATGACAGAATCATCTGGAATTCTCATTAAAAATTCAGATATCTGGGCCTCTCATCCTGAATATTCTGATCCAGTAAGCCTCTGGGAATCTTCATCTTATTCAGCACAGCTTATTACTCTGATGAAGCCAGGGGGTAAACTGCATCTTAAGACATGTTTCTTTAAATGTGCTGTTCTTGGCTAGGTGCAGTGGCTCACGCCTGTAATCCTAGAACTCTAGGTGGCTGAGGCGGTACGATAGCTTGAAGTCAGGAGTTCAAGGCCAGCCTGAACAAGAGCGAGAACCAATCTCTACCCAAAATAGAAAATATTAGCCAGGTGTGGTGGTGCACGCCTGCAGTTCTAGCTACTCAGGAGGCTGAGGCAGGAGGATCACTTGAGCCCAGGAGTTTGAGGTTGCAGTGAGTTATGATCACATCAGTGCACTCTAGCTGGGGCGACAGAGTGAGACTCTGTCTCTAAATTAATTAATTAATTAAATACCATCACATTAGCAATGTGGCAAAGAGCAAATTAGAGAAATAAATAAAATGCTACTTAGGTCAAATAGTCAAATAGTAGGTCCAAGATGATTGCTACAAGATATATCAGGAAATGTTTATTCTATTAAGAGTTTACTAAAATTGATTCTTATAAAAGGGTTGCAGTATCTAGGCAAGTTTGTCATTGAATGTTTGCTAACACTTTGCTGAAATATATCCTTTGCTGTTTATCATTTTATACTCGAAATAACCTCTTTAATGCAGGAGTACAGTACTGATAAATTTTGGACTTCTTTTGCAAATTGGAGAAAAATGGGCTGATTGGAAATTACTGGTAATGCAGCTTTGGTTCTGCCCTTGAGAGACTTAGGATTTATGTTTCCTAAGATTGCTGTCACCAACCTTGTAAGTAATCAGCAACCCTTGAAACCATAAATATAGAAATATATTCGCAAGTGGTGGAAACAGAATTATAGGCATATTTATTCCTTGCATATTTCTGACAACAGTATAAATCACCACTTGTGATTACTTTGTGAATTTCAGTGGCTAATTGATATATGATCAACTACTGATCTTTTGAAATAATAGAAAGAAGCAAAAATATGAAGATTTTAGAGAAGTAGATAACAAACAGAATGATTTTCAAAGGTTTATGTCAAGATTTATTTGGTTAAACTTATTATTAATTAATGTTGTATAATATTACCAATATTATCATTAATATTTTCGTGTAATCCTGGTATATATTGTTCTAACTAATATGGTATAATATTATTGTTACAAGTAGTTAATATTAACCACTACATGATTTGTGTAAAATATTAACTAATTATTAGATAATACTGTGTGGTATTAACAGTATGAATTTTGGCACACATACGCCCACATGATAAACTTAGTGATTATGTTAATCACATAAACATGTCTGAGTTTCTTTCTAGACTGTGAATATTTTAAGCCATGAGGGTTATTACTTATTTTTTTCCCCAAGAATACTAGTCCATTGATTTGAGCACAGCTAGATCTCAATAAGGATTTATTGAAGAAAGGAAAGAAGGAAGGAAGTAGAGAAGGAAGGAAAAGGGGAAAGAAGAAAGGAAGGGAAATAATAAATATATTTTTAAGAAGCTTACAGTATTATTGAGAGAATAGATTCACATAAAACTAGACAATTACAGGTAATGATATATAACCAAATGTCCCACTATATGTTAATATAAAGTTTGTTGTGTTATGCCACAAAAGGACATTATTGCATGAATCAGAATTGTCCAGGTGAGTTTCTTGGAAGGCATAGGATATGAATAGTGACTTAGACTGGGTCCAGGTAAAGAGCTGACTGCCCATGGACAGGGGCTGGAGAAGCAAACTTCAAGCAGATGAAGTTGGCTGAATAAAGAATGGAGGTGAGAATAGTAAGGTTTACGCAAGAGATAGTAAGAAGTCTGAAACAAAGTGTTCTGGTGTTTTAATTTTTATATATTTTTAATATTTTTCTTTCTTAATAGTATTATTGTTGTTAACACAGAAGTAAAGAGTTGAATTAAATATACTCCTCAATTCAGGGCATGCTGCTATATTCTTCCTTTCATCTCAATCACCAAACCATTCTCTTTTCCTTAATAGGCAACCCCATTAACATATTTATTGCATCCTTATGCTCTTCTGCCATGTGAGGGCACAGGTTTCATATTCTCTGGAGGACAGAGGGACACAGTGCCATTTTGGCATCAGGGAGTAAGTCTTTACCAGACACTAAATCTGCCGGTGCCTTGCTCTTGGACTTCCCAGCCTCCAGAACTGTGAGGAAATACATTTTTATTCTACATTCATTGGTTATGCAATTCTCTCTCTACATGTGTATGTATATACACATATACATGCACCTATTTTCATCTATAGATGCTATAATAGGATATATACATACTACTATGCAAAATAATGTATGTATATATGTGTATACTAATGGTATTAAAGTATATTACTTTGTGCTTATCAATTATATCATGGGAATTTTTATATGTATGTTTACCTCTCTCTATCAGGATCTAAAAGCTTCTGCAAATAATGTTGTAAATACAAACAATGGAAAAGGACATGAGTTACAGGGGGTGGAGGGGACTAGATGTAAGTAGGAGAGGTAAGTAGCAGAGGGATGGAGAGTTTGCACAGTTACAGCCTTTCCTCCTTGTAATACCACAATCATGACTAAGAGGAGTCAGACAAGTCTACATTTAAAGTTAGCCATGCTCTTTGTATGAACAGGCCTGAAGCCAGAGTATAAATTGAGGCTTAGGTACTATAGTTCGAAATATGTAAAGATTATAAATCAAGGTAATTAACAATTAAGTCAATGTATTCTACCCACCTCCTTTGACAAAATATTTCATAAACCTTGAAGACTACATCTAATTGTCTTATTAAATATTTTATTAAATGATACTCCAGAGTACTTTAATGCAATGTTTTCTTTCATATAGTTTTACATATTTATAGATTTATCTGTTAATAAGTGAGCATTAGATTATTATCATCTCTAGTACAATAAGGCTATTGTAGTATTTTCATATAAGTAGCTAAAGATATCCAAGGCTTCTCTTTTCAAATATGGTCTATTGTTATTTGTATACTCACTGGAAAACTACAAATGCTTTTATGTGTCCTAATGAGCCTTACACTCACAGGCATTGTTCTTGCAGCTGTGGTGAATAGACATTTAATGACATTACAAAATGACAATGATTCTGGCAGTGACGATCTAACATAGTCATATGTATCAATCTATGAGGCAACTGAACTTTGTAAGTGGGGGGGTGCATCTTATTCCAATATGCAAACTTTTCTTTAGTATCAACAATTACTCTCGTTTTACATTTTTGTTCTTAGAAACTTAATCACCATAATCAAACCACACAATGGTAATGACAGTGGCTGACCCTTCTATTAGCCTTTTAGCTAAAAGCCCACAGGAGACATTGATTAATTAATCCTTTCCATCATTCTTGTTTGATAGCGTTATCCATACCAAAAAGTGGCCTTGGCAAAAGGCATACATATAAAATACTTGAATATAAAACATGGAGAATCCTTTTCTCTATGTTCAGAATTTATCTTCATACCTTTCTCTCTCACTCATATAGTACACAGTATATGCTTATGTGAAAAAGAAAGAACTCAATGCCACCAGAAGTACATTTGATATGAAAACATTCATGAAAAGATTTAATTATTGATAGTTGTCATACATCTGGCCAGGATCAATCCTAGAATATTTGAAATCATGCCCATCCGTTTATTTTCCCCTGTGGTTTCCAGAGAAGTATCATCCACACAGAGTGTTCTTCAGGCAAGTGTGTAATTCAGGCAAGTGCAACTGCCAAGGATTTTGACTGCAAACTCCTATGTAATTTTCTCACCTGATGAATTGAGCTGAACCAATTGAGAGCTATTAGGATCTTCTTTTCCCTCTCAGAATTAAGTCCTTGATTAGAGTCAAGATAAACTGGATGTCTCTCAGAATCATTCCTCTATATCCTCTGCCCTAAACATATCTGTTTATTTGTTTATTGGTTGATTGATTATTTTTGCTTTGTGTATTGGTCTACCTGTTTCCTTTTATATGTTTGCTTTAAAAATATTCTGAGATGTAGAGGTTATCATGCAAGCATAACAAGTCTTCAAGTCATATTCCTGTAACTCATACACGGAAGTCTGGGAGAAGAATAGTTATCTGAAGTCAGCAAAGAGTAGAAAAGAAGATCTCAAAAGGTAAAAAATAATCCCACATAATGTGGAAAATCATTTTCATAATATCTTTATTTATTTCTAATTCAAAAAAGTATATCTTTAATAGATGGGAATTGTCACATTAAAAACAAATAAAAACTCATAGTAATGACATTATAACAAAACAAAATAAAAAAAAATTTAACACCAAAAAGCGTCCTAATGTCAGAACCTAAAGAGACATTAACTAAAATTTCATGGTAGATAAATCAAAAGTTTGAATTTCTGATGTCTAGCACATGACATAGACTTGTTTTGCTTCTCTAAACAGACAATATTGTAATACAAATAGCAAAATGATAATCTATATGTTCTCTCACACGTATGGCTGGCTCAAATATAAGAATTTGTACCACATATAAAAGTTGAAGAAATAGTAATTTCTATATATTAGGTGCTGCTCAGAAAGACTGGGAAAGTATAATGCCCAATGCCCATATTTAGCTAATGTTTGTGCATCTAGTCAGAAACATGACATTGCAGAAGATAGTTGGAAAAACATAGAAAAACCTGGGAGAATTTTACATCAAGGATTGAAGATTTTCATGTATAATATCATTGTAAACTATAAGAAATCCTGAAAATGCCAGCAGTAGAAAGAAATCATCATAACTGAATAGAAAAATACTGTGCAAAACTTGCTAGAAATGAGATTTGAAATAGAAATGCTACATATTTAATATATACATGTAATTTAGCCAAACAGAAAACGAAACACACACACACACACACACACACACACACACACAAATGAACAGAGACTCTATTGACTCACTCTGTCAATTTACTGAATTACAGACTAGACAGATGCTATGGTCATATTTGTACCTATGTTCCCACCATCTTTATGCATATATTGAAATCCTAACCCCCAAAGTAGTGGTATTAGTTAGTGAGGCTTTGGGAGTTGATCAGAGCATAAAGATGGAACTCTCATCAATGGGATTAATGTCCATATGAAAACAACCCCATAGAGATATTTCCTGTCACTTTGGCCACATGAAGTTATAATTAGAAGACAGCTTGCTATCCATGAACAAGAAAGTGGGCCTTTGCTAGACCCTGAATTTGTCAATGCCTTGATTGTGGACTCCCATAAGCTCCAAAACCATGCAAAATTTAAATCTCTGTTGTTTTTAAGCCACTGATTTAATATTTTGATGATAGCAATACAAATAGACTAAAAGACTTGTCTAGTTATAACATAAGTAAATATTAAAATAAACAAGTCAATACAAAATATGTATGTATATATATACACACAATTTTGAAATAGAAAATTCAAACTGAAAATAACATGGAATATTAGAAAAATTTTAATATAAACATTATTAAGATAATAAAATAAGCTAATATGCTTTCTACAACATCTCTGAAAATAAAAGCTATGAAAATAGAAACCACACAAAAATGAGGAGAAATAAAATAATATATTAAAATGGAAAAAAGAAAAGATATTTTACATCATAACAATCTATATAAATTTCCCTACGAAAGGCAAAGCTAAAGAAACCATGAAAGTAATCCCATTTAACGAAAGCTACAAGTAAAATAAAATACCTAGGCATAAACTTAACCAAAGAAGTGAAAGATCTCTACAATGAAAATTGTAAAATATTAATGAAAGAATTTGAGGAAAATATAAAAATGCAAAGATATTTTGTGTACATGGAGACTCAAATATTGCTAAAATACCCATACTACTCAAATCAGTCTACAGATTCAATCCAATTTCTGTCAAAATATCAAAGACATTCTTCACAGAAATAAAAGAAAAAGAAATCCTAAAATTTATACAGAACCATAAAAGACCAGAATAACTAAAGCCATCCTGACCAAAAAGAAAAAAAAATAAATAAATAAAGCTGGAGACATCACATTACCTGACTTCAAATTATACTATAAATCTATAGTAAACAAAAGAGAATATATTGACATAAACACAGACGCATAGAAAAATGGAACAGAATAGAAACTCGAAATTAAATCCATAGATTATAGTCACTTCATTTTTTACAAAGGTGCTCAAGGACATACTTGAAGAAAGGACAGTTTCCTCAATAAATGGTGCTGAGAAAACTGGTATCCAAATACAGAACAATGAAACTAGAGCCCTATTTCTTGATGTGTACAAAAACCAAATCAAAATGAATTAAGGACTTAAATCTAAGACTGAAACTATGAAATTACTATAAGAAAATATTGGGGAAAAACTCCAGGATATTGGTCTAGGCAAGGATTTCTTGAGTAAGACTTCAGAAGCAAGGCAACAAAAGCAAAACTGGACAAATAAACCACATCAGACTAAAAATCTGAACAGCAAAAATAAACAAACAAACAAACTATCAGCAATGTAAAGACATAACCCACAGAAGGGGAAAATATTTGCCAACTACTCATCTGACAGGGGATTAATATCCAAAATATATAACTAGCTCAAACAACTCAATAAGAAAAAAACAAAAGATCTAATTAAAAATAAGTGAAAGACCTGATAGATATTTCTTAAAAGAAGACATACAAATGGCCAAGAAGTATATGAAAAAATTCTTAACATCACTAATAATCAGAGAAATGCAAATCAAAACTGCAATGAGATATCATCTCACCCAATTGAAATATTTTTTATTCAAAAGATAGGCAATACTGGATTCTGGTAGAGACATGGAGAAAGGTGAACTCTCATACACTATTAATGGGAATGTAAATTAGTATAACCACTATAGAGAACAGTATGGAAGTTCCTCAAGAAACTAAAAATAGAAACACTATATGATCCAATAATTCTACTTTAGGGTATATATCCAAAAGAAAAGGAATCAGCATATCAAAGAAATATCTGCATTCACATGTTTATTGCAGCAATTCACAATAGCCAAGATATAGAATCAACCTAAGTGTCCGTTAGTGGATGAATAGATAAAGAAAATGTGGTAACATATATACAATGTAAAAGTATTCAACCATAAAAATGAATGACATCCTGTCATTTGTGACAACCTGGTTGAAACTGAAGGACCTTATGATAAGTGAAATACACCAAGCACAGTAAGACAAATATCACATAATCTCACTCATATGTGGAAGCCAAAAATAAAAGAAAGAAATTGAACTCACGAAGAAGAGAAGAATCATGGTTACCAGAGGTTGGATAGGGTAGTGGAGGGGGCTGGGGAATAAAAAAAGCTAGTTAATGGGTACAAATACACAGTTAAACAAAGAAAATAAGATATAGTTTTCAGTAGCACAATAGGGCGACTATAGTTAATAGTAATTTATTCTATATTTCAAAATAACTAAAATAATGGAATTGAAATGTTATTAATAGGAAGAAACAATAAATGCTTGAGGTGATGAATATCCCAGTTACTCTGACTTGATCATCACATACTGTATGCTTGTATAAAAATATCATATTTATCCCATAAATATGTGCAACTATTATGTATCCATAATAATTAAAAATTAAAATGGCAAAGCTTCTTAAATTATAACAAACACTAAAATAAATGTAAACAGCCAAATAATATAAACCGCTTATATAATTGTTATTGCAAGAAAATATTTGGATGTAAGAATTATAAATGTGAATATGAAATAAATAACAGTTAATGTATTTGGATCCTAGAAGACCATGAAAAAGCTAGAAAAGCCATTTTAGGGAAGATAGCACTTTCTTCGAAAGTCAAAAGCAAATGTTTGAACATCTTCACTTTACCTATGTGTCCAATTATCTGTTCCAGGGAATTTGGGAAATCTAGCAGATTCTATCAAACTGGAGGGTAAGACATCTAATATCACCATCTTTTATATTTGAGTGATGTGTAAAGCAAAATGACACAAAAGTTTGAAAGAAAAAGCAGGTAAGAGTATATCAGAAAAAAATATATATGAAATGCAGTAGTCAAAACTAAAACATGGCAAAGAAGTTAAGGAAAAATATTAGTATGGTGATATCGTTATTTGTAACGATACTAAACTTCAAAAAGTACTAACAATAATTTATGTGCAGATGATTTTAGAATAAGTAGTTATAGCACTTGATAACTATCAGTACAGAAATCTTTTATTCCTATAATAAATATGTAAATATATAAATAATAAAGAACAAATTGACCAATCAACCAAGAGGAATATTTTTATATTAATGGGAATATACTATACATACTATATAACATATATAGTACTAATTTTGTTTCAGGTAATAATATCATTTTTCCTAGAAAACACACATGCCCAAGATTATAAACAAAGAAACAAACAAAAATGATTATCAATAACATAATAACCAAATATGCTTGTTCCTAAAAATTTTACTTAAAACCACAAGGCCAATGGCTATGAGAAATTGCTAAGACATTTTTCTGAGTATTCATTAGTTCTCATATGTTCACAGTATCTGAATTAGAAGTTATTTTTAAAAAGTATTTTAGCCTTTTTACATTTGCTTAACTCATATAATTGTCATAAGGAAAAATTCAAATTTTGCATAAAAGACATGATTCCACCAGGGGGCATGAACATAACATTAGTGATTCAAATTATCTTATTAGGAGCCATTTCTATAACTAATATATTTCTGTAGACTATATTAATTTTCCATAGTGTTATGAACAACAACATATTTGCATATGCTTTTAGATCTCGTATAGCTAAATCAGAAATTTATAAATCTTATCTTTGGAGATAATTATGCTTACTTGTAATTCTCAAAGAAATACTCTTTCATAATGTTCGTCTCTCGCCCCTCTCTCCTCTCTCCTCCTCCCTCTTCCTTCCTCCCTTCGCTTCCTTCCTCTTCCTTCCCTGTCCTTCCTTCTTCCTTCCCTCCTTCCTTCCTTCCTTCTTTCCCTTTTTTTCCTTTTTCATTCAGCCTGCCTGGATTTCAATATGTTTCCTTTTTTCATCTGTAAAACTATGTCATATTGGCAAATTTCTTCACTTGAAAATCAAGAATGGCATATATCAATTTGTTAGTTTTAGAAAAAGCACACTAAAAGTAGTAAAAGAAAATTGTCTTAAACAAAGACCTCAGGATTCCTTGGTGGCTAGTCTCTAAGTGAATTAAAAAACATCTGGCACTTAAATGTTTAATATTTAGCTAGATGAAAAATGCCATTTTGCAGGTTACAATTGGAAAACAATTCCCCAGATATTCTCTATATCTTTATATGAAAGTCATCATACATGATTTAAAAATGTGATACAAAGTTGCAGCTCTAGAAAACTACTGGTGAATTATATTGCACTAACTGAAAATTGGATGATGATGCTAGAAATGCCTGTTTTGCATTGATGGTTCTGTTAGTTTCATACCTATAGAGCAAATTCCTCTTGACTTTAAAGCACTTTATAATTGCTCCCAAAGATTAGGTATCTTGTTGATTAAAAATCTGTCTAATCCTAAGGTTATATCATATCTTTTAGGGTTTTAATAAGAAAAATTTGTTTGAATATTCATTAAATTGAAATATTTAAAAATAAGCATATTCTAAGTTTTTCCCTCAGTGAATTATCAGCTGGGTTTTGAATATCGTAAAAAATGTAAAATATAAAATCATAAAAAGTCTCTTAATGTTTCTCAATGTTATCATATTTAATATCAAATAATAATAGAAGGAAAAATAATTCACTATAAGAAAGATATCTTCTATGTATATAGTAAATATAATTATATGTATAGTCAAATAGAAGTAGATGATATTCATTTAATGAAAATGCAGACTTATTATTTATGTATATAGGTATATACATGTAGACACGCACACTTTTTAAAAAAATTTGCATAATTGTTTCCCCCAAAAAGCCTTGATTACAGAATAAAGATGTAGAAAAAATTACCTTCTAACTTTGCTAAAGATTCATTTTCAATGAATCTTATTACATGTAAGATATAATTTATTATATGCACATGAATATATGTATACACACAATATAGTAAAATATTGTCACCATTTTTACACTCAATTTAATGGAATTGGGGCTTGTTGAAGGTATAACTGTTAGGCTATCAAATTCTTCTTCAGTTTCATCTGGGCAACATGTTATCTACTAATAACATTGGGTGGTGGGAGCCATTTTAATTATAAATAATTTGTTTCAAATCTCTACTCATAGAAATTCATTTCAGGAACCCAAATCATCAGGGCTGTCATTTCTCCACAGAAACATAATAATAAAGCATAATGTGTTTTAAAGGAACTTATGGGGGGTAAAAAAAAGATTAAAGAAAACTATGATTTAAAGAAATATTTGAGAAAGAGGGATACTTTTCATCACTGGACCCTTAAACCCACAGTCATCTTGCTTGTTCAACCATTACCTTTCAAATTTGTTCCCTTAAAAGGGAAAGAGTAAAAAGAATTCTGACTTTCTTTTTTTAATACTACGCCTACAACCCAACCAGGAGCTCAAAGCTGTTTGCTTTTCTCCTATGTCATTTATTTAAATCCCTAAGGTTTATTTTTCTGTGTTGCAAGTACATATGCCACAACTCCTTTGCATTCCATCATTGTCAAGCTGATCCATTTTTTTTTTTTTGTAGTCAAAACAGACAGCCAAAAACCCCTTATAAATATTTGTTGACTTTAATGACTACTTTTTAAGTCAATCAGCTTCAAAAAATACAGGTTTTTTTTTTTTTTTCAGAGATTGGTAGAAACTCTTTGCATTAGTAATATGAAACTTTAAACATAAACAGCATTTTTTTCATTTGGTTTTTCAATTCTCTATAACAGCCATGCTGTGTACAAGCCACTGTATGATATGCAAAATGGTTTTAGTTCTAAGGAACAGACTTGAAGACATATGTCCTGAAGGATATGGATATTAACACAAGACTAAAAGAGTTCATGCTAGTGACTGTAGATTAACTCTTTATTGTGCATTTCAGACTGTGATGTCCTATTGCTGATTAAAATCCTATGAATACAATTGAGAGCAATGTCAAGGCTGGAACAGAGACAGAAAGTGTTTGAAATATAGACAACTGTCTTCAGAGAGAGCTGAAAGATTGATATTGAATATTCACTTTACAGACAGCCTTCAAAATAGAGGAAATATATTTTCAAGTTGACATAACTATATTTCTGAATTTATGGATGAGCACATTTTTTAAAAAGTGAACCTGATAATATGGATAGGTCCAAAGGGGTCGATGTAGCTTTTAGATCAAGTTATTGACTTAGAAACTTAATGGAGTATAAGACCTTTCATATGACTAGCCTGTGCAAAAGTCTGCTTGTGTGAACAGCAGTTCAACATTTAAAGACTTCAGCATAGTTTTTTATTCAACCATGACTCTGGTTGGTATAAGCAAATTCAATGCCTAGAGGTATATAGTCACATAAAACTAGTTTGCTTATGGTTGTTAAATCAGAACTTCCACATTTATTGTATATTTTACTGAGTCCACAGGGCTTTTTAGTTGTGAGTGGCCAGGGTAGGATTGTATGACAGAACATTCACATGGGGGGATTGAACATCTAATTGGGTACAAAATATATAAGTATTCGAAATGACTTTAGGGCATTCACCAAGAAAAAAGTCTAAATAGTACATTTCATATAAAACTTAAGAAATTTGTTTAGAAAAAGAAGAAAAGTGAAGTAACCAGAAATTTTAAATAGCCTGATTACTTAAATTTTACATGGGAAGATTCATAAAATAAACTGTTGCATTTTATTTTACTATCAGATTAACTGACTAAGCACCAAGTTGAACTGTCAAGAAAATCTCCAAAAAACAACTACATAAATGTGAATGAATTAATGACACAGAACTCATCCATGTTAAAGTTCTAAAATTGATTTCATCTGAACTAAAACCTCAAAGCTAAAATGTGTGAGGGTTGATATTTTAATATTGAAAATTGAAGAACATGCAATGGACCCTAAAACTTAATTTTTCTTTTTCCCTAGTGACCAGTCTCTGCTCTTATTATAGTGTTAGATTGATTTCCTCACTGGCACCTGCATGCAATACTTTCAGTCTTGCATGTGCCATTTAATTCATACATCAATAGTGTATAAAAATCAATAAGCATATGGCAAAGTCAGCCTTGGCATTAGTTACGTTTCCTCAATCACTTGTCATCTCATCCCTATATCTCTGTAACTCATATTTCTGTACTAAGTCCTTATTCAGTTGACATTTGAACAATATGGGTTTGAACTGTGCAGGTCCACTCTTATACATGTATTTTTTTTTTTTCAATAAAAGTTACACAAAGTGTATCTGCTCTCTGGCCTTCTACCTCCTCCATCTCTTTTGCCTTGGCCACCCCTGAGACAGCAAGACCAACCCTTCCTCTTCTTCCTCCTCCTCCTCAGCCTATTCAATGTGAAAATGACAAGGATGTAGACCTTTATGATGATCCACTTCCACTTAATGAAGGGTAAATATATTTTCTATTCTCTATGATTTTCTTAATATCATTTTATTTTCTCGAGCTGACTTTATTGAAGGAATATGATATATAATGCATATGACATAAAAAAATAAGTTGACTGTTTATGTCATTAGTTAGGCTTCCAGCTAACAGTAGTCTATTTAAATTTGGAGGAGTCAAAATACTACATGGATATTCAACTATGTGGGCATCGCTGCCTTGACCCCTACATTATTCAAGGGCATGCTGTACACTGGGTGGCTTTCATGATTGCATACACTTTCATTGAACCCTAGCTCTAAATTTCTAAAGGGCAGACTAACTTTAAATTATATTATGTGTTATTGTTTGCTATTATTTCATGATGTATGTAGCAGTAATTTATAGTGTGTCTTATAGCTATAAAACAGTATACTTGGTATTAAATGTATTCATTATTTTTCAAGTTAGATTGTCATTTCCTCTCTTGCTTCAAGAGTCATGTCTTTCTTATTTTTTGCTCTTCTTAGCACATCCTAAACAGGTAACATATTACTGCCACTTGCAATTGACCCAAAAATGCATTAGCTGTGCTAAATCTGGAAAACATAATACTACCTCATAGGGAAACAATACACTGTGTTTTTTACAATCGTTTTTGCTATTTGATGCATTCACTGTTTGTGATTTTCAGACCAACCAGATGATCTATCTTATTAAATCTATTTCATGGAGAATGAAGAGCTTCCTGGAGTCCCCATCTAGTCTCAGGTACCCTCCAATAGGAAGCGCCTGCTCATTCCTGTTGTTTGACCTTTCTATGTCTATTCTTTCAGTCTGTCTCATACGATCTCTTGAAAAAGGAAAGATACTTAAGGGCTTAGGTGTCAAATGTCTTTCATGAAAGTGGAGACTAAAATAGGAATCTCTGAATTCTTCCTTTCCTTTTCAGATCCTGCTTGACTATCCATTTTCTGCAGAAGGAGACAATTTTTGCTCTTGTGACAGTGTCATTTTCTGAACACCAGTATAAAAGGAAGGAGGACAAGAAATCAGAGCAAACACTGTAACTGGTCTCTAGGAAATGTTAATTAGAGAATATGACTGAAATATTTATAATAACACTATCTACATTAGGCACAACTGGAAATTACTCAAATGTCCATCAACAATACAATAGATAAATCATGGAGATTCACCCAATGCAACATTAAACAGCACAACACATGCACTAAACACGAATTGAACAAATAATACCGAACCAAAGAAACTAGCCACAAAGCATTATATATTATATGATACACTTACATAAAAAGCAAAAGCAATAGCGGTTGCCCCTGGTGTTTTATTGACCAAAAGGGAGCATGGCAGACATTCTGTAATGCTGGTTATGTTCTGTTTTTTCAACAACATTATAGTTACATGGATGTGCTCACATTATTTATGGAAATTTATTGAGATGTATACTTAAGATATGTGTACTTTTCTGCATGCATATTACTCTGCAATAAAAAATGATTTTAAAAATAGAGGAAATAAATATGTCAACATAGAAAATACAACAGATAATTTCTCCCATTGCAAATGGGTGATTTTCTGTCAAGACAAGTTGAAATCTACTGCATGTTTATCTTTACAGATCAAATAATAAGTAATAAGTCAAACCAACTATTCTATTTTGGAAGTATATTACTTTAATTTCAAATATTGTTTTATTTTTCTTCTAGTGTTTATAGCATTTTATATTTGTCACGTGCCCTGATGAAAAAAAAATAGAGCTCCGATTATTTTTATACTAGTTTCTAGCTACCATTGTTTAAAAGATAAAGCCTATTTCCTTTAATTTACAGTACAAAGCAATTGATATCTGTTTATAAATTACTTATTTCACACCAAAGATAAAGCGTAGCATAGGTTTCCTGATTTGGTGGGGAAAGCATTAGCATGTGCTGATTTGCTGTTATGTGCTATTTCTAACCTTGATAATTTTGCAGAGATGTTGAGTAATGGACAAAATGTGCACCATGTGCCATACGTACTGGTCCTGGTAAATGTCTGGATGTCGTATGATGAATAGAATTTTTTAAGTGAAAATTTTATTGAGATAATTGTAGATTTGAATTCGGTTGTAAAAAATAACATAGAGAATTCCTGTATACTTCGCCCAGTTTTCATAAAGGTAACATTGTATAAAATTATAGAATAACATTATAGGATATAGACATTAATACAATTTACTGGTCCTATTCATGTTTTACTTAGTCATGTATTACTTAGTCATGTGTATGTGTGTAGGGGTGAAAGTCATGTGTATGTGTGTAGGGGTGAAAGGGGTAAAGTTCTAAGCAATTTTACCACCTGTATAGGTTCTTATGTTCACCACCAGTCAAGATATTAAATAGTTCCAACATCACAAGTGTGCCTTTTTTTATTTCTTTATAACTACACTCAACTCCTTCCCCTGGGTCTTCCCCCCCACCATGCACAAATCTCTAGCCCCTGGCAACCACAAATCTGTCTTCCATTTCTAAAATTTTGTAACATCATAAATATTATGTAATTAGATCTTATAGTATGAAATCTTTTGACTTCTTTTTTTGACTTCTTTGCACCCAGTATAACTCCTTGGTAATTCATCCAAGTTGTTACATGTATCAATAGTTTGTTCCTTTTTATTGTTGGGTAGTATTCCACCATACAAATACAGCATACACTGTTTGACTATTCATCTGTTGAAAGACATGGCTGATTTCAGTGTTTGAATCAGCCCAGATTCATATACAAATAAAGCTGCTAAGAATATCCACGTATATAGATCTGTCTCAAGGAGAAAAAAATGTAGGTGGTATAGATAAAAAAAGATTAGGTCCTAATGCAATAAAATTCTTAAGGCAATACTGGAGAAAGACTCACTGCAGTGGTTCTCAGCAATGGTAGGATATTTGACTCATGTGGAGTACTTTTAAAAACCCTCATGTGTGGGCTGCACCACAGATCAATTAAATCAGAATCTCTTTAGATGGAACACAGATATCCATATTTTTCCCAAGCTAAATCAAGGTGGGGATCACTGGGCTAATGAAATGTAATCTAATCACAAAGTTGCTGTTATAACGCAAGGTGAAATGAAAAGGAAAAGAGTCCCAGAAAAGAAAACAAATTGGACATATTGAAGGGGAAATGCCAGTGTTCAATGATAGATAAGATATAGGAAAGAAGACAGAGAATGGATCAAGAGATTCCCAAGGTCCAAGAGTAAATTGTGGATTTGTGAAAAAATGGAATATTTATGGGTAGGTCTTTGGGGAGGTCGTTGGGAGTGGTGATTTATTTGATTTGATGGTAATGCACTGAGGTGCATTTCTTAGAGGCAGCTATAAATTTCAATACTAAAATTACTCATTCATTTCCCTAATAGAATTTACATTTTCATTTTGACATTAGAAATGAAATTTTATCCATCTTAGAAGACACCAATCTTTTGTTAGATGCTTAAGTTTGCAGCATATCGAAGTGCTAATATTGCATGCGTTCTGTGATAAAAAGTTTCAGACCTAGATACTTGCTGCCATAAACTGAAATGAAAACGCATCTTCATAACATATTAAATTAGTTATAGCTCTGCTGTGGGTCTGGCAATCAGGCATCCGAAACTTGGCAACAGCAAAGGAGAGCCAACTGGCTTTCATAATGTATTTTTAAATGAAAGTAATAAAAACAAACTCCATTTCATTAAGTGCTTAAAGAGATCTTCTTGAAAGTGTATTCCGTTCGAGAAGCCCAGTTCCCAGGTGTGTGCTGTCACTCCACGGTAGGTGAGTTTATTTTCCACGGTGGCTGAGTTTGGTGCTATTGAGTTGTTTTCCTTGTCACCTTAGGCAAGCTTGATGGTTAATGGCATTGCTAATAGGATATACAGTCAGTTATGGGGTTCTAAACTAGCTTGGATTAGCTACGACTAAAATCAATTATCACAGTCCACTGGTGCACAGAAATCAGGGGTACTCTTATTTCTGCTCCTAGTGAACAGCTGTCCTCAGTCCCCAAGAGAAGAAAAATATTACTAGCAAAATTGATGCTAATTAGCACCCATGTTGGCAGTCAGAATAGAGACGCGGAAAAGAAAATTTGCAAAACGAGGCTGGTTAGGGGCAGTAGAAATTTTGTCACTAAAATTAGCCAAGTATAATAAATGACTTTCCATTGATTTTTTCTGAAAACCCATATTCTTCACTTAATCAGCACATTAAAGGATACATTTTTGATTGATGTGATATAGGTTATGCATGCCATTATTTAACCAATTATTTTTACTTCTCATTATTCAATATTAGTAAACTTATGCAACCACCAAATGTTACTGGCTTGCTGCATATATTTGCTATGATAAATACTCCTTTTAGTGGATTAGCACTGGCACGCTTCAGTCAGTTAACAAAGATTATAGTCTTTTGGTTAGCACAGTAGATAATATGATAGATCAATAGAATGATAGATCAGTAGAATGATAATTCTATTGATAGTGCCTTAAAATTTGAGTTTTAGATATTTATTTATTTAGCTTAATACCCTGAGCTTAACACATTTCAATAGGAACAATACATACAGCTTTGTAATTAGTTACAATTTAATGTGAATGAATTACCTGAGTACAAGTTGTGAGGGGAAAGTTTGGGAGGATGTAAGAATCATAAAAAGGCTTTAAAATAGGAAAATATTGTGGAAAGAAATTTCCTTGCTTACCATGTAAGTTAAGTATCAGTTGTCTTTAATTAGTACTTTTTTATGTCTTACGGTGTCATTTTCCAATAGAAAACATTACTTGTGGTAAAATATATATATATATATCTTGTTTATTGCAACCAAATCATTACTAATTTTGGCAGCTTCATTGAAAACTTACTTTCTTTGGGAAAAGTCATACAATTAACCTTCTGTGATTCATAACTGACATACTAGAAAAGATTTATGTCTAAATTCAATCAAATGTTCATACTATAATTTTTCTTTGAAGATGGAATTGCCAATGGAGTAATAGTGGATTAGGCAGCTGGTGTGATGGTAAGTATTTATAAGAATCATTGATTGTGGTGATGTCCTTTACTGAAATATGTATGCTGTTTAATTAAACAGTGGCATAAAGGGAAAGATACTGGCTGGGATTAAGACATGGTTTAAACTGGCTGATTAAACTTTTCTGGTAACTCCACTACATACATTCAAACACAATTAACTTTTACACAAAAGAGAATATTTTTACTCCTACCCTGACCAGCAGAACCCTAAGCAAACTCTCATTTCTGCAGGAATAAGCTCTGGCCTTTTGTAGCATTGCTCACATCTATGCAGTAGGGCAAAGAAAAAAAAAAAAAAAACAACCTGCTTCCTGATAATATTACACTCCCAGTAGAACAAGCTAGTATTTATGCAATTATAGAGTACTTCAGAATTTATGTTTCCATAAAAGCCTTTTGAAGCAATCAAATCAGAGATCATTATTTTGAAATCAAAGTTAAACAAATTTGGACATCTAGCAAAGTTTGGATCTGGAAATAAAAGACTGGCTTTTCTGATTGTTTAAGAGTGACTAAGGTCAAAGTCTTGCTTCTATTTTAATTTCATCAGAGCCCACAGATAGAATGTTACAGTATTCTTCACATCAGATGTACATTTAACACAGGGAAATTTGTTTTGACTCTTGGTGAAAATAAATGAATGAATATATATAGAAAGAGAGAGAGAGCTATAATGATTCATATAACATATGTCATTCTTCCCGTTGTTCCATTTAATGAGTTATGCCAAAATATATGTAACAGCAAGACATGAATCTGCCTTTCTCATAGTGAGTCTCAGTTCCCAGATTCCAATACTATTTATTTCTATGAAAAATATATAAATAAGTGAATAAGTAAACCAATCCATTATTCATTTGTTTGTGAATAAATTTTTAAGGCTACGTAATTTATTTCCATCTCTTTCTATCTTCCCTTATTTTATATCTGTTTCTTCCTCAA